CGTTGCCTATTTGTGTAAGAAAACCCGATGACCGAGGGATAAACTCTTAGTGACAACTGAAAAGGCTACACATGTATGGTGTGACGATATGTACAGAACTGTCTCGTAGGACACCCAGGGGGCATATTGAACGCTTCCTGTTTCCCTGGGTTGGGACTTGGAGGCACTTGGGCGGGGGTGTCCTTCATAAATGTCGAGGGACTCACAGCTACATTTGGCACTTAGCACAGTGTAAGTGTTGTCCAGGCGTAGGTGAGAATTTTTGCTACTAATTACATGATAATCTATCTGAATAATTTCCGGTGCTTGACACACATTTATAAACATATGCTAATTGGAAATGGCCAATCTCGTGAGGGACTGTAGAGCGTTTTGAGTGTTCTTGCAAGTGCTAGCCCCCTTGGCCATCATAATTTTCTGGACTGGAAGGGAAGTGGAATACTTTTTTATTTTTTCTTTTGGAGAGGTTTTCGCTATAGGGTGCGAGCACTCACCAGAAACACAGAGAGAGACAGAGAGACAGAAAGTGAGAAATCACCCCCCCCAGGAGGGATGGTCACGCCGCAATCCCTCCATTCTCCTCTCGGGATCTTGGGCATGCACACGCATGCGCCCAGCGTGAGTTTAAGCCACCGGGTCCAGGATTCGAACCACAGTCAACTACATGGGAGTCCAGCAACATAGCCATTACGCTAACTGCTGGTCCCTGGAGTGATTTATTTTTTTTCATATCACTGTCTTGTCCTTTCAAGATGGAGACATTTACCTCCCCTCACTGCCTCGCCCCTCTCTTCGTAGCGCTCACACCCCTGGGCACCGCCCTGCCTGGGAAGGGGCTATGCCTTTGGTAACCAAGAGCAGACCGGGTTCATGGGCGTGTGACCTCACACTCAAAAGAGCGTTATGCTGCAAATTCTTTTTTTTTTTTTAATGGTTTTTCTCATAGGGTGCGTGCGCTTGCCAGAGAGAGACAGTAAGTGGGAAAGTGAGACACCACCCCCCAGGGGATGGCCACACCGCAGTCCCTTCTCCTCCTTTCTTGTTTTGAGATTTGGTGCACACCTGCACATGGGCCCAGCGTGAGTTTCAAGCCACCAGGTCCAGGGCGTGGACAGCAATTTCATCGTTTGTAAGTTATGCCCAGTGGGGACATGGAGCGTGAGCACGAACAGAGGAGGTTGCAGTCAGTACAATTGCTCGGCTCGTCATTTTCATAAACAGGTTGAGTATTCCTTACCTGAAATGGTTCAGACCAGAGAGGCTTCAGATTTTGGATTTTTTTTTCGGATTTTGGAACATGTTCAGGTACATAATGAGATCTCTCGGGGAGGGTAGCCAAGTCTGAACATAGAATTCACTTATGTTCACATACACTGTACGCATAGTCTGGAAGCAATTTTATAGAGTATTTTTAAGAAGTTTGTGCATGAAACAAAGTTTGTGTACATTGAACCGTCGAAAGCAAAGGTATTTTATCTCTTTTGCCCATAAGGTATCTGCAGGTTTTTTTGACATTTTCAACAGTATTTTCACACCTCAGAGCAAAGAATAAGCAAAAGCCCTGGTGAGTAACGCATGTGGGTCTTGGCTGTGTGTGAGGCGTCGTGGGCGGCCTGCCCTCTGCCCTTGGTTCGGCCTGCCCACCGTCGTCTCATTACCCTCTGTAGGTGTGCATGGAAATCAGATTGTAGCTGTATATTATGTGTTGCACCTGCATTTTTACTGTGACCCGCCATAGGAGGTCGGGAATAGAATTCTCCACTTAGTGGCATCGCGTCAGCACTAAAACATTTCGGATTTTGGAGTAGTTCAGAATTTACATTTCTGAATTAGGGATGTTCACCCTGTAGTATCCATGAAGTCCTATTGGATGTGATACACCAGATTGTCATGGCCCACAATGTGAGAAAGTCTAGTGGGACTCAAAGGAAGTACTTGCTGGACTCCCATATAGTCGACTGTGGTTCGAGTCCCAGACCCGGTGACTTCAAACTCACTCTTGGCGTGTGTGTGTGTGTGTGTGTGTGTGTGTGTGTGTGTGTGCCCAAAA